GCAGCCTGCCCGCCTCGCGCCGGGCGCGCCGACGGCCCTGCCCCCGGGCTGCTGGGCCAGCCAGGAAACAAGCCGCGGTGGTTTCTTTCATCCCAGCATCACCGCTTAAAAAACTCGTGGAGCGTGGCTCTTACTCGTCCACGCTCCCGCTCGTATGTACGCACGGGACTCCTAACCAGCCGCTTACCTTTTCCTCTTGCAGAGCCACTTACAGAAATCTGACTAATCCTGACATGCCTCTGTGTCCTTCCTCAATGAGCAGCACTTACGTTGCCCTCTGGCATACGTGTACACAGAAATCTGTGTAGTAGCACTGCAGTGGATTGCAGTGGTATTTTTATTTGTCTGTTTATTTTCTGTTGCTTAGCAAGCTAAAAGAAGAGTCCTTACAGGGAGCCTTCTGAGAAAGACTCCTCCTTCCTAAAGCTCCTTTAATGCTAGTTGCAGTGGATTCTCAGGTATATTTTTTCTTTGTACTTCAGCTTATTGCTACAGCCATAAAATCTTACCTACCTTTTTCCTATTGCTTGGTTACTTACAGAAGTGGAATGCCTCTCCAAGCTTGAGAAAGGAGTCAGAACTACAAATCAAGAACTGAGTATAAAAATGATCCAGGAAGTTACGACAGCAGAATTATCACAAACAGGTTTTTTTTTTTTCCCCTGCTTTAGTCACATCTGCCTTTCCTGCTCCTTTTACACTGCATTCACTTACTAGTCCCAGTTGTGAAACACACCTCCTTCAAAAGAAGGAAAAGGAGGGATTGCTTCAGGTCATACTAAACAGTTACATGCCACCTGCAAGCAATTAACTCTTTCTGACTTCCTCCTTTTAACGTAAATAGTTCCCCTCTTAAATTACTGTAGAGGGTTTTTTCTAGCTTTCCCCTTCCAAAGGAAAACAGAACATAAGGATATTCTTCTCTCTGTTTCCTGAACCAGACCTATTCACCATTTCTTCTCTCATATGCATTCACTGAACTGTTGCTCCGAGCAGCGCCACTTGTCATGACTTAACGTGGAAGGATAAGATAGGAGAGAAATAATAGGAGAGAAAAGTGAGACAGGGATAATGGAGTCCCCCGGTAGTATTGTTGTTTTCCGCCATTATCCTCTTTCACGTTCCAGTTCCTACCTTAAACACACTTCTGTTCAGCTTGGAGGGCTGTTACACCTTCCACTTTTGTGGGAGTACAACAGCTCAAACCCTTACAACGGGGCGCTCTGGTCTCTCCAGAGATTTCTGTCCCTTGCTTATGCCTACCCTGATGCTTGCGCAGACACATACCAAGTTCATTCAGGGAACTGACTTGTCTGAAAAAGTGAGTATATTTGGTAAAGATCATTTTCACCATAATGAATTCCCTGAATTAACTCACGCAGTCACACAAGCGCTATCACCACTGCAAGGGAGAAGAGCTGGACTACAGCAGACCAGATGGACACCAGCTTGAGATACTGGGGAAACAAGCTCACAGGCCCCTTTGTTCGTCCTGCGTAGTGCCTAGAAAAACACTAAAAAGCAGTAGACAGTTGCTCTGATGCTCTGCACTGACACGAAGCCAATTATCAATAGTCCTAGGCTGCCAGGTACAGACTTCAAAGATCAAACTGGAGGTTTCAAACCAAAAAATAAATATGTATATAAAGCAAATGTCCCTTGCAATAATTTACAATTCACATGTCAGTACGTAAGTTTCACAAGCACAGAAGTGTGTTGAATAACCAAGACACGGCTCCCCACATTAACGTTTCACTTGCATTGAAGAATAGGCTTGATTCCATCCAGCACATAAAAGCTGGGAGAAATGCAAGCTGCACGATTACAAAGTTTAAAATAAGCTTTAACAGAAGTTCAAAAAGAAGCTGGCCATTTTGAGAAGGAGAAAAGAAAAAGGAATAGGCAGGTCTCCAAACTTCCAGGATGCTGAATTATAGAGGACAATGGTCAAAAGATGGGGTGCTGCTGTACAAGTTGCTCTTTCACATTTCACAGCTGCACCACGTCTTAAGAGTTCAAGAGAACCAAAGACACTCAGAATTTTGTTAGCTAGCATCTAGAATTGTTTTAGACTCTCTCCTGCCATAACACTGCTTTGCTAGAATTAAATCTTAACTACAAAACTGAAAACATAATGGAAATTTTGTCGTTTTCCCTTTTAAGCTTGTCCGGCATAAAAACTAAGCCCAGAAAGAGAAAAGAAAATTAAATAATCTTCCCTACCACCACCCCACCCATCAAGAATGAGGGACATAGTTTTTCAGTGCTCACCAGGTGATTATAATTGATTTAATTTTTATCTGTTCTAAGTTATCATTTAAGTTCTGAAAGTCACCATTCACTTGCTTTGGAACTCTGAAGCTTCTCTGGTAGTTTTTTTTGCTAGTTTTCCTTAAATACATACCAGGCTTCTCTGTCTTACTATTCCCAATCACAATTGATGGTCTAGTGCTACGGAAATAATGCCAATAGTAAATGATTGTGCAAACCTTGCAGACACTATCACCCACAACCCAGTTTCTCACATCAACCTTGAATTTATCCATCATCCAATTTAATAGCTACATCAGTGAGCACGTATAGCCTCAGTTACAGAAGTGTGGCTCTGACACTAACTCATCTGTACATTTTTTTTTACATTCCTTATATTTTTTCCTTTCATAGTGCACAGAAATGTTGGTACAAATAGCTCTTGACAGAACTCTAATTCAGCAGTGAATTAATTTATGAGACAGTAAAAATGGCTTATGTTGTTACTGTTAGCATATTATTTTCAGTCTTCAAGGTTTAGCAAAATTAAGATAATGCAAAAGCAGTCTTATTGCTTTTTACTGTTTTTTGCAGCATGTTCTGGCTGGAAAAAAATAACTAGGTTCCTCTTTAACTGCCAAAAATATTAAAATTTTCAGTCCCAAAGCAGTGTTCCCAGAGAAACAGATGAATGAACATGTATTTTAAAAAGGAAGCATGAACAGAACATACTTGGAAAATACTTACAAAGTTCTGATCTTCTGAAGTAAAAAATGTATAGAGAATAAAAGCAGGTATCTATTTTTGAGCTGCATTTCTTTAAAGCGTTCTCAGGCATCTCCTCAGGACTGGTGCTGTTTGTAGGACAGTACTGGAGACACTGGCAGAACTGGTGATATTGGAGTTGTAGTCAACACCTGATTCTGGAACACAAACATTTTAATCCTACCAAAGACCCAAAGAAAGATAAGGAGAATGCTGACATACTGGATCCAGGCAAATTTAATAATTTCCCAAAATCCTGGCTGATATTTAAAGAGAGTCAAGGAGCATTAATGAAGAAGCTTCTGACACTACCACTGCAATAACTAAACAAAGGAACTCAGAGGTGGAAAGGCACAAAACTCATCAGACATCAGTTTGTGTGGCAAATACAAAGCCTTTGAGCCATGGAAACCCCTAAAAGCCTTTTACCGTAGTATGTAACAGAAGCTGCAGAGAATGTCTGTCCTACAAGACATTTAAACCAATTCTGTAGAAAGTGCCTATTTCGTCCCTGACTCACCAGAAAGTAGTTATTGGTAATACTCAGGCAGGTAAACAAACCTCATAAGAAATGTGCTCCATACAGATTCTTTTAAACATGGGCTTGTTCTTGTCTGAGAAAGTGAGTACAGAACATAATGAACGAAGAATTATTTTGCAGAAAAAAAAAATTTCAGGTCTGTCTGTGCATGTAACAGACTTGCCACATCCACTGTGGGGGTTACTATTTGGTGAGCTTACCTTGCATACAGATTTCTAATGATTTGCCTTAGGTCACAGAACACAGTATCATGCTTTGCTAGTAGCATCCATGACAGACCAGGACAGCAGGTGCTGCAGGAGCAAAGCAAGACTTACCAAGGATATTCACTGTGAATAGCTAAGAAACTGCCTTCAAGGCCAGTTTAGTAAGGCTGAAAAGCAACACAGGTTTCCAGTAGAGAAAGGCAAAAAGTGGTTATGCAAGCAGAACCACCTGGAGGAGCGGGCAAATAGGTATTCAGCTAACTCCAGAACTATAGCATTTGCTTAGCTAACAAAGGAGAAGTTTAGCAACGAGTCTAGAAGAAAACAGTTTTCATTTGGCCTATATGTGGAAGCCCAAATAATGCAACCCAGTTATGTCACAGTTTACGCAGTTTTCAAAGGATATAAGATAACTTCCACTGGATAATGAATGGTGGCGTTAATGATAAATGGTGTATCTGCTGCTCTTCCAGTCACCCAAACAGGGTTGGGATCCGAAAAGACTGTTGTCACTAAAATGGGGAAAGGAAACATCCAGGTTAAGGGGCTTTTCAGTCTTAATACAGAACTCAAAGCCTCACAGAACAGCTGCCAATATGCTAACTACTGCTGTCCTGTAATTTGCAGCTATACATTCAGGCTTACCATTTCTATCCCAATATGCTGCAATGATGTTTGTTAGATCATAGTCACTCGCAAAAGGACTTGTGCCATTGACCACAGACACCTGTTACAACAAGGAGGTACTTGCATTATCTGTACGCTCTTCAAGAAAGTAATTCTACTGAGTTTCTTACGCAAAGTAACCACGCCCTTGAAGGAATGCACATAAACAACAGGGGCTCTAGGGCCCACTCTGTGCAGGAGTAGAAATAATGAGGGTGTCACCCATGGTACTAGGAGGATGAAGAGGGGGGGAAATTGATGGGGAAGAAAAAAAAAAAGTTTCCTCACATTGTATCTGGTATCCAGTCCACAATGGTTAAGTAATTGCCTCTGGTTCAATTTCAGGTCTCCATTCATATAGAGCTGAGACCCTGGCACAGGAGAAAAAAACTGAAGAAAAGCCATGCTCTGCATCACAAGTGTTGACATTCTCTGAAATGGTGAACATGAGAAAAGAGAATTTGGGCGGGGGGGAATACAACATACTTTTCTACCTCTTTGTTTCTACAGATTTTCTGCATGGATTTGATTTTTTTCTGACTCCCAAGATTCAGATCGTCACATTAGTCTAAACAAAGGAACACCAACTAAGAAATATAAATTACTTTTTGTTTGTTTGTTTGTTTTTAAGTGAACTACCTTAGTTGTTAGTTAACTAACTTTATAAACCAAAGTTCCACAGGAAATTCAGTGAAGTGCAACAGTCTGTGGCTAATGACAGAAAGATTTGACTTGCCGTAACGTGTGAAAAGCAGCAGGATGACTAAACACATTCATTGGAGACACACTTTAAAATACTCAGCAGTCAAAGCCAGCTAAGGACTCCTGCTCTGCAATAAGGACCAAGCAAGGAAGTTCCTTAGCCCTTATCGACCACTCAAGCTGAAGGAGAAGTTACACATTTACTGTAAAACAAAGTTGTTGTCAATATTGGAACTCTCTGTGATACTGATCACTGATCTAATACTTCAGCACAAATTTAGGACTGTCGGTCCTTTACTCCAGGCCTCATAGGTTTGTTTTCTACATGACACAGCTATGCTTGCTAAGCTTGTCCATCTGCAATCAGCAAGAGTCTCTTCGATAAACTAAGCCTAATCTCCCTAGTAAAATAACTTCTTGTCTGTGTGGCTGCACCCAGCACAGCACTATACTATTGTTCCTTTCAGATGCATCTGTGGATTCTCTGTGCACTAGTGTTTTACTCACTGCTTTAGGTATTAATTGCACTGCCACTTGAGATACAATGGCAGCAGAATTTTATTTTCCTGTCTCCCTATAACACCTTCCCCCTCCCAGTTAGAAGATACAGAAGATCCTGGCAGATGATTACCATTGCTTCAAGGGCTGTTAAGTAAGCAAAATCTATGGAGTTTTAGGCTGCTGCAACAGCCTGCCCCTCCACCTCAGAGAACTAACTGGTTATGTCAAGACACAGCAGTATGTAAGAATGCACATCCTTCTGCCTACTGCAAGATTCTCAGTTATTTCCTGATGCCACCCAACTGATATCCACTGTTGTGCATCTCTGTCCTCTATGCTGCACTACAGCCCAAGAAAATACACAGCTTAAAAAAAAAAAATCTAACGAAACATATCAAAATATGCAACAGAGCTAGACTAGGAATGACCCAGCAGAGGAGGAGACAATTAAATATTTGTTAGTAAAATAAATCTTTTAGATAGGAATTTCAAATGTGGAAAGGTTCTTTCATCCTTTGCATAACCACTACTGGAATATTACACTGCGTCTATATGTCACAAGAAATAAAACCAAAAAAGCTCACATAAAGCTGGTAGGAGAAGAGTAGAATCAGCTGAACACCAACTACATGCTCTGTAGGTTGTAGCGGAAGCTCCAATTTAAAATGCAACTGATCCATTTTGCCATCTTGATTTTTGTCTTCTTCTCTAGTCTAAAAGAATAAGATTTTTTTTTTTTAAAGATGGGAACTTCTGTTAGAAAGAAAAGCAAAAAAAGGTAAAACCCCAGGGGATCTCCACAACTGCAGCATGCACATACTAAGGAAGCAAATAAACTGCATAGTAGGAAAGCAATAAAAAGCTGCTCGACTGTATAGACACAGGACTAGAGACAAGCAAGAAGCCTGCGATTTTCCTCTGTTATACAATGTCTCATATGCCCCCTAGGGAGGGAAAGCTCATCAGACTATTCAAGGTCTCTTCTGCCCCATGCCATTCCAACCATCTCCCCTGCACGCTACGAAGCATGCCTTAGTGCCGGATCTTCTGTCACAGCCTGCACAAATGGGTGACTGATGGTCAGGCTTTGCCTCTTGCCATTGCAGCCTGCCTATTAATGGCCTCTGTATGCCAATTCCTGGTTGCGAGCCAAGGCTTGCTACACTTCTGTGCCACAAATGCCCAGTACTTCAGCTATTTGCAAGCATAACAGGACTCATAACAGAGGTAACGCAGAAAAATAACTGCCGCTGTTGAATCCCAGCAGAAGCAAACCACCAGTGGTGCCTAGGGACGCGGTTTAGTTGTGGACTTGGTAGTGTTAGGATAATGGTTGGACTTGATGATCTTAAGGGTCTTTTCCAACCTAAATGATTCCATGACACTGAGAGGGAGTAAAACTGGACTGGTTAAAAATCACATGTCCCAGGCGAATTTTGCTGCAAGGCACGAGGTTACACATGAGGCTGCTGCTCCGTGAAGGCAGCGGTGCACGACAGGCGGCCTGCTCGCAGGCGCTGCCAGCGCTCAGCCCCTGGGCCCGCTCTCCAGCCCCGCTTCCCACCGCCGCGGCCGGGCCCGCCCCGGGCAGGCCTACCGACAGGAGCGGGACTCGCAGCCGGTCCTCCTGCAGCCTGTTGAACGCTGGGAACGTGCTCCACGCCAAGAAGCTGCCCGGGCCGGGCCCGATGGTGGCCACGAAGAGCACCTCGTACCGGAACCGCACAGTGGGCTGCTCCAGGTACGTGCTCTGCTTCAGCCAGAAACCTGCGGGCAGAGACAGAGCGAGGCCTCAGGTCCGCGCCGCGCCGGGCCGCGGGGGCCGGCCCGGGCCGCCGGGGCCGAGCGGCGCTCACCGTGGCTCCGGTAGGGCACCAGCAGCGGCGGCAAG